CAAACTAGTTCCTAATCATTGTGGGTACAGTCAGGTTGTGAGAATTAGCCAGAACAATCTCTGGCCCTGTTTTACTTGGTAGCAGAGCTGTCTAGAGACCCGTTTCAAGCACTTTTTCATAAGTATCTTTAAAAAAGGAAGCGGGTTTGTGCATTATGTCTGCTGCTCAACTGTGCAGTCTACTAAGCCTCAAGAAAGACATGGAAAAACTCACAAATTTATGAATCACCCAGATTTTTTAAATTATTTTTCATCCTAAAAACTTCCCCAGCTATCACAGAGACTAAACAAGACATTAAGCTGATTTTAGAAAGTACATTCCTACACAAAATATCGAGTTAACACTTTCATAAACGTGTCCTTTTACTTTGCATAAAGTATGCAAGTTTATTACTAAGGATTTTTTTCCAGCTCTTTTCTTGTTTATTGTAAGTTACTATATATAATGATATTACAGCTGCAGTTACGTAGTAAAGAAATTTTCAAGGTTCAAAAGATCTTCTTTCTTTCTTCTTTTCTTCAGTCAGTTTAATTTGCTAAAAGTGAAGTGTAATTGGACCTGTTCTCCAATATTGTATGTGTAAAAGACCAAAAATAGGAAATTAAGCTTTGTGTGACTTTAAGAATTATCATCTTTAATTTAACCTTATAATTTTAAATCCTGATGGTAGGTAAAATACAAGAAGCAGTTCCTGTGTCCTGCAGGTGTATAGTGCAGTGTTACTGCAACCTTTCTGAACTACTTTAGTATAGATACTGGTCTATGCCGCTGTACACAAGTCTGATAGTAGTCTCTTGTGTTTTGTCTCCTTGATGGTAATCAGTGTATGTAGACAACATTCTGGATTACATTCATCTTGACCTATGGAAAAAAAAATAGGAATCCGTTCAGAAAACAGTACGTTTTCTCCTCTACTTTCATTTTAGAAACTATTTTAATAATAAATAAAGTGTTTGGGTTTTTTTATCATTAACAATGAGAGCATAGTGACCAGATTCAGCAATAAGTAAGTAACTAAGATCTGGACCATTTTTGTCATAAATAGAAATTAAAATGACTTAAAAAAAAAGGTAACACAATAAATCTGAAATAATACTCTACTTTTACTGTACTTGAATATATACAGGAACAAGTAACTCTAATGAATCTTGACTGAATGAATTTTAGCTCATATAGCACATTCAATCCCAAGATAATTCTATGCATGTTATTATTTTTTCCTATTGCTTATTAAATTATACAACAAAGAAGAGAAACATTAGGGGTTTTGCAGTATTTATTCCAATTTTTAATCTGATTCCTAACTAACAACTCATTAGTTGTAATTATTATAACTAACTTTGTACTTTGAAATACAGAGAAATCTGACCTGCAGAAAGACCATTTTTTAAGACAATCTCCTTGATATGAATGTTTATTTGTTCTATGTTGTTACTGTTGCTTGAATGACATTTATTTTTGTCTGGTCTTTTTCTTTTTTCTTTTGCCAATGTCAACATAGGTAAGTTTGAGAGAATTTTACTCTCTTCCATTTCTTGTTTTAGATGTATTCAGATGTGCAATTATATTATTGTACCACATGTTTCTTATCTGAAAAGTGCAGTCTTTTGTTTGTTCTCTCATTCTTCCATACATTTTTTTCTAATCCTTTTTTTCCTTTAACTAAGAGACATGAAATATACAATACTTTCTCTAAAAATATGTCTCAGTAATATTACCACAATGAAACACGGCTTTGTTTTTTACCATTTTCTGCTTCCTATATGCATAAGTTCTCAAATTTTAATACACAACACTAAGAATCATCTTTTTAATCTTTTAATTTAGAATCTAAAAAAATTATCTAAATGATGATTCTAGAAGAATCATCTTTTTAATCCTTACCATAAGCTGTGCAGGTGATCGGCACAGTACTTGAAGTAGCAAGTTATATGTGATTATATCAGTGTCAGTTCTTGATGGCATTAATTTACTGCTGTGACACATTAATTTACTGCTGTGACGCCATAAGAATACCTGGAGCGCCACATCCTAAACATTTCCCCTTGTCTCTGATAATGCATTCCATAAGGAAGTGCACTCTAAGATTTAGGAGATCAAGCTGGCACTCCCAAATAATGTTCCCGTTTTTAATATTTTCTTTTACAGGAAATGTGAAGATATCTTTTGTGTTGACTCCAACACTAAGTTTTCTTTGCTCTTACAGCAAGCATTTTCTGCCAAATCATGATAAACCTTTTCCTGCCTTTCTCATACAGCTGATGAAAATTTTCTGAATACCAGGCTAAGAGAGCTCTCTTACAGAGCTAATAGTGTGATCACCAAAAACACATTAAAAGAGCACTATACTTGTAGTTATTTTTATTACATAATGAACTCAAATGTGCTAAGCATTTTCCTAACACAGAAGCAGACCCCATGTCTTGGGTATTTACTGAAAAGAAAAAGACATAACCCAAACATTGAAAAATAATCTAAAATATCTACAGAAGCTGCAGCTCTGTGAGGTGCATTATCTGAATAGTGATATTGCATAATAGAATTGTGTCATGGTTTAAGTGCAGTCAGTAACCCACGCAGCCTGCTTGCTCACTCCCTCCTTATTCCCCCCCACACACTAAGTGCAGTCAGTAACCCACACAGCCTGCTCGCTCACTACCCCCCTTTTCTTCTTCCCCCCCCCACTCTAGGAGGGATGGGGAGGAGAATTGAAAGAATGTAACTCCCACAGATTGAGATAACAACAGCCCAGTAACTAAGGTATAACACAAACCACTACTTCTGCCACCAATAATAATAATGATAAGGGAAATTGTTAACAAGGGAAGAGAATACAATACCACCAGTCGATACCCAGCCCAACCGAGCAGTGCACTAGCCCTTCTGGGTCACTCTCAGTTATATCCTGGGCATGACGTGCTGTGGTATGGAATACCTCTTTGGTCAGTTTGGGTCAGGTGTTCCGTCTCTGCTTCTTCCCAGCTTCCCCTCCTCCCTGGCAGAGCACAAGTCTCAGAAAGTCCTTGGTCAGACTAAACATTTGAGCAGTAACTAAAAACATCAGTGTTATCAGCACTGTTCCCAGGCCAAAAGTCAAAAACACAGTACTTCACCAGCTACTAAGAAGGAGAAAAAATGACTGCTACTGCTGAATCCAGGCCAAATTGTTATTGTCTGAGCACCAGTGCCTCCTGCAGTTCTGTTTCTAAAGTTCTGGGTATGCGAGCCAAGAAAACAGGGACTCAAAATATCATCACACATCATAAAAAAAGGCAATAATGACAGGTGTGAGAAAAAAAGAATGAAAAAAGTCAATTAGTATTATTTTTTTCCCTAACTTTTCTATTGTCTTGAAGTCCTCGATGGATTTTCCGTTTATACTACAAGGCTTTTTGATTTGTTATTCATTTATGAATGGAGGCTAATTGATATTGATCTCAATGCCTTGTTTATTATCATCTCCTGAGGAACAAATTATTCTATGGTGATATATCTGGGGTAAATTGTGGTCCTGGAGGAAGAATCAATATACATAGGAATGTCTGAAGGAACAGTTCTGCTTTGAAGCACATTAAGAAAGATTAATTTGGAAGGCATGGATAAAGACATAGGAACAGGGCACCTATGAAGAAATGGTAGTGATAGGAGCTATGAAAGATAGGAAAGAAGAGAAGGTTGCTAATGCCACAGATGGTAATACTTGTAAGTCAAGCTACCATCTCTCCCTGTCTAGAGTGATGGACCTGTCTAAAATCAAAGATGCATTTGCAGGGAGGATTAAATACTTCCTTACTTGTTTTGTAGCTTTGCCACTACCTAGAAAAAATCAAGAGATAGAAAAAAGCACAGCAGTCAAAGCTGCACTTTATGTTAAAATAGACAAAACCATCTATACAAAAGAGTGCATACAAATACTGTGTTACAGGATATCCAACAGAAACACATTTGCTATTCTGCTTTGCTGCATCATTCCCTCCAGGATGCTGGAATATAGCCCGACCATACTAGGGACTTACAACAAAACAAAGGAGCAAATAAATGGCTGTATCAACAAGGGCTGAAACAGCCACTGCAATCTGATGTTGGGTTTCAAAGCCTTAACACAGACAGTTCTTTAACACTTAAATTTACACTCCCTTGGACCAACCACTGCCCTGAGGCCATGACTTTTGCCGCTTTGGCACCTTTTTTAAAAAAAAACTGAGAATATCCCAGTCACTGTGAATAGTAGCACTCAATACTGATAATCCATTTTAAATTTTGGCCTGCAGGAGAACAAGAACAAAACTTAAATTTCACTGAGTTTTCCTCTGCTTTCTACTCATTTTTCAGGAAGAAAGGTACAACAGAGAAAATAATATATTGATTAGCATAGCACAAAAAGTCTTACTTTTTCATTTTTTTCCTGAGTCTCCAGCACTCTTTTACCATCCATGCTACAAACATGAAACAGAATGAAGCAAAACCATAGATCCACAAATCTAAAATATTATTCTGCATATTTCCAGACCAACTGGAATTTAAATTCATATTCCTGAGTTACAACTTCCTAAATACATGCCTAACACAGCAATATCAAATTTGTGGGTCACATATGTTACCTCTGAAGCCTTAATTATGGCATCAGTTTTGCATACTATATCTTCAGCAGACTCAAATGTTTGTCTTTGTTACCTGAAGGAGAATTGTAGGTGAAGTTCAGCTCAGAGCATAGTGACTTCTCAGAGGCTTGAATGGGCACTGTTATACAGTACAGAATATTCCCAATTTAAAATGTTAAATATATTGCTAATTATAATCAAAACCTTTGAAAACTGAACAATGAAAAAATAGCCTGGGGACTTTCTTGTCTAATCAGAACTGAGAAGAAATTACAGTAAAAGTGCATGTCATATTAACTTTAATATAAAGAAAAATTAGAAGAGTTTTACAATTATAGCAAGTTGACTAATACATGCTTATTAAAAATATACATCTGCTCTGCTTTGACCATGTTTAGGGGTGCTAGAACTGGACAGTGGGAGAAATATTGTAAGCTGTGAGACTGCGGTGTCACCATGCTTTCATGGAAAGCCACTTAATTTTATGTATGGACAGGTTTCTGAAGTAGGCTGCTCCTATGCCAGAGCAGACCAGTGTAATCAAAACAAGTCCTTCTTTGGAGAGTGGTAAGTACAATAAAAAAGAAAGTAATATGTTTACTGAACAGTAATAGAATGTTTTTTAATAACACTCAGTTTGAAGTATTGTCGAGTCTTTCTTAAGGAGTAATGGAAATGCTACGTAAGTAAAAATATGAAAAGATTATTTTCTTCAGCAATAAAATGAATGATAGAATACTTTATTACTGTTGCCTGAAAATTTATACTGACAAATATATCCATATAATTCATTGCATGACAAAGAACGTTGTTGTGTCTTGTCAAAGAAAACCATAATTTTAATTTGAGATGAACTGTACTTTACTAGCTGGTACAGACTTCACAGACCATAGATCTGAGTAACGAAACTAATTAAAAGAAAATAGCTAAGATATTACTTATTTTGTTGTTGTTACCTGATTATAACAACTTAGTTCTTTATCAGGGTTGCTAGCATTTTGAAGAACGTATTCTGCATTAACTGATTCATTTTACAAAAGTAAAATAGCTTCCCTAATATCAAGCTTTAAAGTTTAAGTATACCTCAATGTACCCATGTTGCTTCGAATACAGGAGGGAAAAAATAATTCTGTCATCCTCTGTTCTGCAAGAATTGTTCTAAAGAATTATGGTCCTCCTGGAGACATTTTATTCACTCATTTTATCTGAATCATGCGAAGCATGTTACTAATAGAATAAGTCCTGAAAGGGTCTCACTTTGTTTAAATAGAATAGGTCTGAGTCAGTGTGGTACTCACTAGTGCAATGACATGACGTGTAAAAATGGAATTCTCTTAATCTCTTTCACACAGGAGAAAGTGGGGTGTGAAATTACTTCCAAAGAGGACAAACAGCACCTTACAAGTCACTCACTTTTATGTTTAGGGATAGTTTTGTTCTCAGTTAGGTTGAAGTGATCCCAGTGCATGATGTTCTGACATAACTGAGAGAAAGATCACTTCAGAGCTCACTCACTGTCCACTCTTCCACTCATTTGGAACAGTGACAAGTATAGACGAAGCACCTGGAGAAGAAAACCCACAACAATAAAGAAACAAGGAAAAAAAGAAAAAAGGAACAACAGCAACAACAACAAAAAATAAATCTAGAAAACAAAAGTCTTAAAAGGGTATCATTTTCATATTTTCATTTTTCAGAGGATCTCTTCTACTACTCAATGATTGCACTGAGGTTAAGAAATCAACAGAGATTGGGCACTCAGGGAAATAGAAGACTTAAAAGACTGACCCAAATGGGTATTTCTTTGCCTTCATAACTTTTGCTCAGAAAATCCAAGTATGGAGTAGGTTTTAATTTATTTGATAAAGAACTCAGTTGCTTCCATTCCTCCCCTTAAGATAAAAAGAGTGTTAGAAATAAAACCACTAAATATACCGATACAGTAATAGCAATCCTTTTCTTTTGCACATTTTGATTGTCAGAAACTAATGAGAAACCAAATATATCCATAATCCTTAAAGGTTCCAAATCGCATTAAGCCTGATGCAAATTAGCTTAGAATAGGATTGGGTATCTAATGGTATCCATTATAATAATGAGAAAAGACATGAAACAAAGCGGAAATAGGCAGTTACTCATATTTAACAAGTAGGACATACATCTTACTAAGTTAATGCAAACTCACTGAAAGTGTTGAGTAAGGGACTAATTTTTAAAACATTATTTGTTTTATTTTAAATATATGTTGGATTTCTTTGTTTTCTTTCATTTCTCTCCTTTCAGCTGAAATTCATAATCTTTCCAACTGAGAAACAAAACAAAACAAAACAAAACAAAACAACCCTTTTTTTTAATGTTGCTATGAAAAGTGGAATGCTTCCTCTAAGGAAAGGTAGTCTGCCTGGTTAGTTGATCAGGTATTTCTTATCAGAATAAGATATGGATTATGACAAACAAATTATGGATTATGACAAATTATGGATTATGACAAACAAAATTTGCTGGTGCTAGAGCACACCTCCATTGACATGCTTTTTAGAGATTACAAAAGCATCCTGAAATCACTACTGACACAATAGTGTATTTTATATAATAAGAAGTTACTGCAAAAATGAAATTTAGAGTTCTATCATTCCAAGAGACTCATATAAAATGAGGTAGAGGAAAGAGGATGGGAACTGAACAGGAAGTTTCTCTTAAATTTTTCAGTAAAGATTAAATTCTCTAATGTATTGTACATATAAGTATTAAATCCTGAGTTTATTTTATTTTTACTGTATTTCCTCAGTCCTCTAGACAGCTGCTATCTCGCACCTGGAGAAAAACCTAACAGAGTTTCTGTGGGATGCCTGATATCTGTAGCTTGTTTCATGGCTAGACTTAGTAGAAAGACAATGTCTAATCTGCAAAACCACAGCGGGACTGCTCATATATTTTCTATTGTCAGATTAGAGACTACTGAGCATATATTAGATTTCATGTCTAGATGATACTTGTTGTGAGGAAAAAATGGAACAAAGAACAGAAAATATGCAACAGGAAGTTGATGTAATCTCTTCCGTAACTGTAAATCCATTGTCATTTTCTGGCAGTGAAACACCTACCTTAGTGCCAGGGATTTTAATTCAAGTGAGGCCATACTGCATTTGTTTTTCCTGAATAGTCACATTTAATTGATTAGTAAAAACCTAGACAAATTTGAGTAGTTAGAGATTTTCTTTCCATCACACCTGAAACAGAGAGAGAAAAATGAAGCACTGAAAAAGGGATGTTCACAAAAAGCCTTCCCAGCTGTGACAAAATGAATTCAAGGAGGCAGTACTTTGATTGTGAGTTCTGTGGAACAGCAGAGTGTGACATGACAAATATTTAAAGTTTTATTCCTGACAGGTCACCCATTTTTAGAGAGAGACAGTTCGAGACCAAATAATAGAGCTATGCTTATATAAAAAGATCAGATCCTCAGCTGGGAAAATGAGTAATAATAGCAAAAGCATCAGCAGTAGTAACTGTACTGTCACTTTATCTAGAGAAGTTTATTTTAGGATTATCAAAAGGCAAGGATCTCCCATACAAACAAAGAACAAAAATACAAAATGAAAGAACTGATGAGTATGAATACTTTTCCAGCTTGGAAGAGCATACAATGGAAGCACGAGGAAGAAGTAAAAGATGAGCACAGACCCACAGAGGAATTTGAGGAAACAGTAAGCCTGAACAGATCGTTGTGATAGGCAGCAGAGACTATGCATGAGTGCTCTTATCACAGCATTGTGGGCACTGCTCCAAAAAAAGGGTTTTAATGAAGGGTTTGAAAGCAAATAATAAAAGCATTACACAGACATATCAAGTCTCCTGCCTGGATGGAGAGTGCCACAGTGGAGAATTACATCTGTATTCATTTGAATATACTGATGTTTATTCATATCAGCACAGTCTCTGACAAGTATAAATAAGACAAAACTGCTTACAAAATAAGTGTTTCTCTCTTTCAAAAATCCAGAAAATACTCTCCTACAATAGGACTGTTAGCTATCCATAGATACATATATTTTTTGAAGAATCTAGTATTTACATGGCCATGTCAGAAAGCCTGCAATGCTGTAATAATGTATAATACATTACTGGGGAAGCAGATTCCTGAGGACATCAAAGCCTGCTCTCCTGAAACCCAGTGCTGTGGTTCTGCTTTTTACCCTGCTCCCTCCTCCCTTCCTGTCATCTGAAGAAGGTCCCAGCTACCACTTCTTCCCAGTCAAGCGGTCTATAGCAGATGCCCACTGCAAAAGCACCTATGCTGGTCTGACTGCTACTCTTCACAACAAGCTCTCATCTGGCTCTTTACTCAACCCCAGACAGAACTCCATGCACTTCAGCTTCTCTGTCATGGAAACGGCAACTCAAAGGGTAACTTCTCCTCCTTGCCTTCCTCTCTAAGGAGCCTGTCGTCATCTACCACAGGACTCCAGCTGTTTGTGCAGTCCCAGCACATTTCATTGAATCCAGTGAAGCTGTAACCCTGTGACTGTACACAGACTTCTAACTCCTCCTGTTTATTCTCCATGCAGCATGCAGTAGAGGCATTTTTAAGAATGCACTGGATTTGTATGGCAAAGTTTTGGTAGCAGGGCAGGCTATAGGGGTGGCTTATGTACGAAGCTTCCAGAAGTTTCCCCAATGTCCCGTACAGTCAGTGCTAGAGGGTTCCAAGATGGACCTATTGGCCAGAGCTGAGCCCATCAGCAATGGTGATAGCACCTTTGTGATAACATATGTAAGAAGGGGTAAAAACTGCTGCACAATAGCAGCCGGAGGAGAGAAGTGAGAATATGCGAGAGAAACAGCACATAGAGGTCCATGGTGGAGCAGATTCCATCTGCAGCCCAGGGAGGACCTCACATCAGAGCAGGGAGATCCCTGAAGGGGGCTGTGACCCATGGGAAGCCCATGCTGGAGCAGGCTACTGGCAGGAGCTGTGGCCCTCTGAAGAGAGGAGCCTGCACTGGAGCAGGTTTGCCGCAGGACTTGTGACCCTACTGGGGACCCGCACTGGAGCAGTCTGCTCCTGAAGGACTGCACCCAATGGAAAGGACCCACACTGGAACAGTTCATGAAGGACTGCAGCTCATGAGAAGGGTCCATGTTGAAGAAGATTCTGAAGGACTGTCTTCCATGGGAGAAATCCCATGGTTCAGCAGGGAAGAGTGTGAGGAGGAAGGAGCAGCAGAGACAAGGTGTGATGAACTGACTGCAACCCCCAATCCCCATTCCCCTGTGTTGCTTAGGGGAAGGAGGCACAACCCAGGAAGAAGGGAGGGGTGCATGAAAGTTTTTTTTTTAAGATTTTGGTTTGTCATTATTCTAGTCTGATTTGATTGCCAGTATTTTAAATTAATTTCCCCAAGTCAAAACTGTTTTGCCTGTTGCAGGAATTTGTGAATGAACTCTCTGTCCTTATCTCAACCCATGAATGTTTTGTTGTACTTTTCTCCCCCTGTCCAGCTGAGGAAGGGGAGTGACAGAGTAGCTTGCCGGGCACTTAAGATCCAGGCAGGCTCAACCTGCTATAGAGAGGCACCCAAGTGGCTGATTCCACAGTACTGGCTTGAGACCTTTCCCCACAGGGGTGTTCCTTCTTTACACACCTCTGCTCAAAGAGATTGAATTCTGTTTTGTTGGTTAGTATGTCCCTTCTGCTCCCCTCACACCAGGCCTTTGCCTTAGCTACCCCACCCACGGCTTCTACACTCATTGAGGAATCTCACCCTCCCCAGTCATTCCTAGCTTTAAGCTCTCCCTTCCCACTTCTTACCTGCCATACCAGGCTGTTTGCAAAGACAGCTTTGCCTCACATAGTCAGGTGGATCCCATATCTTTCAAATAGCTGTTGACCCCCAAAGAGGTTCCAGAAATGCTTTTATTACCTTTACTCTCACCTTGAATACTGTATACTAATTTTACATACTCAGAGACTCTTTTAAATCCTTCACGTTATTTTCAGATGATATGAGATGTTTGATTTATTAAATTTACAAGAGCTATGTGCTAGGTTTCTTATGCAGTATGACTATTTCTCTGTATAAAATACTAACCAACACAACCGTTAGTTGTAAAGGGGATATTGATTCTACAATTTCCTGTGTTCTCTCAGTAAACATTCTGGAAATCTCAAATATTCATTCCCAAACACATTGTTTCCAATGTGAAAGGCTGGTATGCAATTACCACATTCAAAGACCCTCTAGGCAAATGATTACAGCTTCAAACTAGACAAGGCATTTGATTTAATACCTTGTCTGGGTATGATGTGATCATTAAGTTTACAAAATTCCTGCAGCTAAACTTAAAGACATCAAACTTCACATGCAGTTTTATTCACATATCCAGATTCCTCCTGCAAGCATAGGTGCAAGTAAAGCTAAACTTATATTTTTGATCAATGTAGCCACCTATGCTTTTCCCATCAGAAATAATTCTACATAAGCTGGTAAAAGGATTCGCTTTCCTAACATGTCACTTTCCCTCTCTTCTATATTTGTTACAACTATGATTCTACTTCCAACACAGACAGATGGATTTTTCCTGGTATTGCAACAGGAGCAAAATCAGGTCAATTACTTCTACAGCCCTTCTAACTTGTTAAACTGCATCTGAGCATAGAGTGGGGAGGGAAAACATGGTGAGCTATGCCTTTACAAGTCTCTGAAGTGACCTGAAGTAGAGTGATGCTGTACAGAGCACAGAGGACAAGTGCTGGGCAGAC